TTCCTTATGAAAACCATCAAACATATCAAGAATATCTGTGTTTTTATATGGTTTTCTTGTCAAGAACTTCAAACATATCAAGAATACCTGCGTTTTCATAAGAGTTCCCTTACGACAAAGATTAAAACTATCAGGCGCGTGTGTGTGTGTGTGTGTGTGTGTGTGTGTGCGTGCGTGCGTGTGTGTGTATGTGTGTATGTGTGTGTGTGTGTGTGTGTGTGTGTGCAAGGCGTGCTCGACGTCGTCGTCGCGGCCGGACAGGCCCATGATCTTCTTCACCACGGCGCCTCTCTGAGGGCCTGTAAGGACGCCGGCGTCCGCGCAGGCGCAAATGCAACACTTTTCATTTGGCTGTGCGTTTCCTCTGGTTTTTTCGCCCTGTTTGTTGATCGCGCCGAACTTGCAATCCAGATTGATGCATAAGGATGGCATGTTAAAAAACAACAGCAACAAAAAACACATACGTTAGCGTATGCTTGGCAACGGCTTGGGCACAATACGTTAACTACATGATGAAAGTGAGCGTGAGGACGCTGATGAAATATAGTGTTCGTCATCATCAAAATCATCATCATTGCAATTGTCATCGTTGCCATCGCCATCATCTTAATCGCAATCGTCATCAGAACCATCCCCATCATCATCATCATCATCATCGTCGTCGTCCTCAGCCCCATCATCGTCATCATCATCATCATCATCATCGCACTCGTCATCATCAACTCCAGGAGGATCCAAGAGGCCTCCAAGAAGCTCAAGAGGCGCCCAAGAGGCGCCCAAGAGGCCCCCAGAGGCCCCCAGACTGCCCCTAAGAGGCTTCAAAACTGCTTTCAACAGATCCCCGAGATGCCTCCCACCATATCCCAACGAACATCCAAGAGGCCTCAGGTGCCTTCTCGAACAATCGCCATCGAACATGCTGAGCCTGATGAGGGGAGGAGCGTGAGGGAGCCAGGAGGAGGAAGAGAAAGATGGTCGTTGGGGTGCGCTGGGGGGGGGGCGAGCATATATATATATATATATATATGTATATATATATATATATATATATGTGTATATATATATATATATATATATATATATATATCGACATTTTACTATCCCAGGGGGAGCTGATAAGTCGGGGGGGGGGGGGGGTAGAGTCTATTCTCTTTTTAGAAAGGAGAATCAAGTGGTGTGGCGTATCTGGTGTGCAACATATGTTGTACACTCTACGTCGTGCAATCTATGTGCCGAAACCAATGCGGTGCAACCAGTGTCGCGCGATCTGAATCGTGCGCAATCTATGTGGCGAAGTTCACCCTGCCGAACTTGAAATTGTCAGCCCCACTGCTCGCGCAACCATCCCACCCACCCACCCGCAACTTGGTTTGAACAATCCATGCGGTGGCGATTGCGATATCAGCTAGGCGCTGGCAGGCGCATCGCTGCGGCCGCGCTAGCCCGCGCATCCTCGCGCACGAAGCGGCCAGCTGGTTTTGCGCGACCGGCGTGGCCGCGGTGGCGCTGCCCGCTGGGCACTTCCCAACGGGCAGTTCAATGCATGTAGGCGACTCAGGCGGGCGCGTATCATGGCAACGCCGACAACGGTTAACACGATGATGATGGTAGGGATGCTGGTGACGATGAAGGCAACGACGACGGCAAGGCCAATGACGGCACCGATGCTGATCACGCCGGCGATGACGGCGTCCTCGCGTCGGTGATGAAGGTTTTAGATGGGGTTCGACATGCGTGCGTTGCCGACGCGGGAGGGTGGCCCGCATGTTACTATTTGACATGGTCGTGCCCCCCCCCCCAACACGCGCGCAAGGGCGTACGAATGATTTTGACATGCGGCGCGGGAGGCCTGTTTGGCCGAAGTGAACGGACATTTTGTAGCGCGAGCGCATGCTTTATTTTGAAAACTGTTGTTGCAACACCATATGTGTTTAAATTTGTTAGGGGCGCTCGATTGCGAAATCCCTGCGGCGCTTAATATTTTTTTTCAAGGCTTTCGGCCTACGCGGGCGACGGACGCGCGCGTGTGCACTTTGTTCCGTTTTTCCAACGGGTTCTTGCGACATCACGCGCGCAAGGGCGTTCGAACGCTTTCGTCATGCGCGCGCGAGAGGTCCATTGGTAATGAGCATGTTAAGAGCATGTTGGACAACACTTTCTGGTGTTCTTGACCATTTGCAAGAGCGCGGGCGCATTTTTTGGGACAATCTTGTTGCGAAGCAACATTTTTTATCTTACATGTTGCTGGGGCACTCGATTTTGAAATCCTTACGACACTTTAGTTGTTTGAAGCATCTCGGCATGCGCGCGCGACGACGCGCGCGTGCAATTCGTCTCATTTTTTAAGTGCTTCATGACAGCGGATGATCTTAGGTAAGCGAATGTGCCCGCAATATATCTATCCTGAAGGTGAGGGGGGCGCTTCCGGTCTGGCTGGGATGAGCTGACTTCATATCTAGGATGGGCGATGGGGCAGAATCGTATGTAATTTGCGATACGGGAAAACATGTTTGAGTCCGCGGGGGGGAGGTCTATCCTAATACTCGACTCTTCAAAAAAGGGGGATCTCTGTTGTGCAATCTATTTTGTGCAGTCTATGTGGGCCGGCGACGGGGCGGCGACGGCGGAAACAAGCGCGGCGACCGACAGACAGGCCCAAACGGCGGGCGGCGACGAGGCGGCGACGGGGCGGCGACGGCGGCAACATAGCCGCCAGACCGACAGACAGGCCCAGTTCCTCAGTAACAAATACGAGCCCCATAAGTGCAAACACTGTTTGGGAAACTACTCTCCTCTCTCCCCTGCAATTGTCCCGAAGATCTCCTGCCCACATCCGCGTCCTAGTTGTTTACGCACAAGATTGGGCCGAACTTGTTTTCATGTGCTTCTTACGAATCCGATTGCTTCAAGGTTTCCAGTCTTGTGCCCTGGCTGCAGCATGGGCCTTGTTTTCGGATCGGCGCCGTGCTCCCGTCGTTCAGACTGGCGCTCTCGCCCAAGCGCCTCTCTGGCTTCCACAGGTCTCACAGGTCTTGCAGGTCTCGGAGGCCCCGCAGGTCGCACAAGACCCACAGGTGTCGCAAGTCTCGCATGTCCCGCAGGTCCCACAGGTCCCGCAGGTTCCACAAGTGTCGCATCTGTCTCAGAGGACTCGCAAGTCTCACTGAGGTCCCCCAAGGTCCCACAGGTCCCGCTGGTGCCAGAGGTCCCACAAGGCTCGCCACAGTTCCCGCAGGTCCCACAAGTCTCACAGGCCCCGCAGGCCACAAAAGTCCCCCTGTTCCCACAGGTCCCACAAGTCCGCAGGTCCCGCAGGTCCCACAGGTCGAAAGTTCCCACCTGCCCCACAGGTCCCATGCGTTCACAGAAGTCCCGCAGGTTCCACAGGTTCCACAGGCCCCACAGATCGCACAAGTCCCACAATTCCCACCGGCCCCACAGGTCACCTTTGCTGCTGTTGGGGTGCTCTGCCGGGGCAATGGCGTTCCAGGTCGGCCATGACTCGCGCCCGCGGATAGAGGAAGCGTCCGCGCCCAATGCAGGGATTGGAGGGAGGGACCGGGTGTCAGATGTGGCGCGAACGCACCTGGCTTGCCTCTTCCCCCTCTCCGCTCCCCTCCCCTCCCCTCCCCTCCCCTCTCCTCCCCCCCTCCTCTTTCCCGCCCCTTCCCTGGCTGGCGGCTCCTGGCGCCTCCCCTGGTCCAGGCGGCCCACCGAAAAACGCTCTGGCCGGCGCCCCGCCGCTGGGATGCCATGCTGGCAGCCCGCACGCCGCGGGTGCTGCTGTCCCTGAGTCGCGGCCAGGACCGGGACAGACACCGCACCAGGGCAGATCGAGGATCTCTGAGCTCTCGCGGCTCCGAAGGGGTGCATCGGGCGCCGCGGCCGGCCCAGGGCGCTCTGGAAGCGCTCCGGGGGAGTTCTGGAGCGCTCCAGAGCGATTCGTCCTGGTCCTGGGTCCGCCCGACCGCCTCAGTCTTAAGTCGGGCCTGTCCCCCTACAGGGGGATTGTCGACGACAGCAAAAGAAAAGAAAATGCTCCAAAATGGTAATAAATACCACACAAATAGTACCATTTTTTTGTTATATATATATATATATATATATATTATTATTTTGTGGAAAAAAGAAAAGAATTTTGTCATACTATTTTTGAATATCTCCCCTGTAGAGGGACAGGCCCGACTTACCCTCAGTCGGGCGCTCCTCCTTCAAGCTTCCGCGCGCGCGGGGGGGCTCGCGCGTCGTGGCCTGCCGCCGCGTCACCGAGAGCGCGGCCGCCGAGCTCCAGGAGCGGCGGCGCGCGCGCGCGCGGGCCGTGCCCTGCGTCTTGGCTCCGGCGCCCGGGCAGGGTTGGGTCGGGCCCGTCCCCCTACAGGGGGATTTTCGACGAAAAATATAAAAAATACCCCCCAAAATACGCCAAAAGGGCAAACAAATACCCCTAAAAATAGTCCCCAGACTATTTTTGGACTATTGGACTATTTTTGGGGTATTTTTTATTTTTCGTCGAAGATCCCCCTGTAGGGGGACACGCCCGACATAAGGCCAGGGCTCCTGGGCGCTTCATCGACGTGTGTGGCCGGACATCTGCCTTGGGGCTCGTCTCCGTTGGCAGAGCTCGTCGCTGCCCCCAACCCTTCGGGCTCCTCTCGGCGACGGATGGGCGGTCGGGGGTCGATGCATCCGGCCCTGAGCCTGCGCCCCCGTAACGTGGCCCTTGGTTTTTGGGCCATTACTCGGCTCTCCGGCGGCCGTTCGGGACGATCCGCCGCCCCTCCCCCCCCCACGGACGCCTCTCGGCGAGGCACAGCTGCGGGCAAGCACCCCGAGGCTGGGAAACCGACGAGGTGTAACGAAACAGCGCGAAAACCTCGAGCCTCGAACCCGAGCCTCTCTTTCCTGACGCTGCCTATCACCCCCTAATGTTGGCCCTGAGGAGTGCGTCAAGCTCCGCGGTGATTATGGTGGTGGCCATGCGTGGCGGCGGGCAACTTTTTCCAATCGCAGCAGAAGCACTCCGCTCGGGGCTGTGGGAGCCTCGGCGAGCTTGCGATACAAACCCTGGTCGGGCGTTTTTACAGGGGCGGCAATGAACGGGGGGGGGGTGAAGAAAGGTGCATCTTTTGTGCAAGGGCCCCCTTCCTGCAAACCTCGATGCCCCCTCAATCTATCGCCCCCCGTTGCGAAACGCCCGACCTGAAGTGCGCGGCTCGCCTCTGGGATCTCAGTCCGATAGCAGCTCCTGCGCAAGGACCTTGAGGGCATCGAACGAATTCCCTCCGCCGTGCACGAAGCACACGTTCCCCCCAGTGATCAAGTTTTTGAACGACTTCGTGCCCGAGCTGCTCTCCACAGCGACGGGGATACCCGAGTCCAGCTTCATGTTGTGCAGGGACAGCACCAGGATGCCAGCGTAGTCCAGAGCAACCTTGTCGGGGTTATGAAGGAAATACTCGTTGATCAGCATGCTCTCTGAGTCGGCATAGTAATACATATCGGCAAGCATATCCGCGATGTCCCCGATGGGGCCCATGATGAATGCTCCGTTCGCGAACTTGTACGACGCGGGAGTGGTACAATACCCGACAGTCGAGTTGGTACAGTCGGCATAGGTTGAGGCAAACGTGGACGAGACACCCACTGTCGACAGGAAGTTGCTCTGCGTCGTCGCGATGCCAGCGGTCTGGTCGTAACGCCACGCCAGGCCCATGGGCGAAGGGCTCACCTCAGCAGCCAAGACAATCTTCTGAGTGCCGCCGCTGGCCTGGATGATCTCGTCGTACTTGTACTGGATGGTGTTTTCGTCGCAGCCGGCATACAAGACCTCGCCGCTGGCATGAACGACGATCAGCTTTTCGGTGTTGCGGGTCGCCCAATAGTCGATCCATGTCTTCACGGCCAGATATCGGATCCTCTGCCAACCCCAGACAGTAGTTGCTCCTGCTGGATTCACCATACCGTTGAGGTGCCGCACCTCTTCGCCTCCGACGCCTGTCATGCGGTAGCTCGGGGGCGGCTGAGTGGGCTTCTTGCTGTCCTTGATCAACACTCTGCCCATCGCAATGTTGGGCGGGAAACCGTCCTGCTCACGCGCGGTCTCGAGAGAGTCGGGAAACACCTCAAGGTCGTATTTATCCCAGATGGGGTGCTCCGTGACGGAGCCCACATCCCTGTTCGACGGTCGGTTGAAGACAGTCTCCCACGGGCTCGGCAGGACCTTCCACGACTCCCAGGCAAGCACTTCTTCTGCGAGCTCGGTCACTAGCGCCTCCCCCTCTGCACGCACGCGAACAGCGCTGACCAGGGCCAACGCCTTTACTACGGGGCTGAGCATGTGTAAGTGTCTGCACAGCTGTGCGATCGAACTGAGATAGTGAGTGGAAATAGTACCGCAGAAACCACGCGCCTGGACGGGTCAGAGCGTTTTGAACCAACAGTGGTAGGACGAAAAAGAAAGGGGTCTTTGATGCTTCGAAACTTCAACATGGCGGCTGGCCAACATATATTTTGTGACACCATTCCTCTGGCACTCCCGCTCCTCATGCTCACCCTTCTACTCCCGCTCTTCTTCCTCGCCCACTCCTAGGGAGTATCATTGCGAAGGACCAGGCCGCATGCAGCTCCGAGTGCCGCTGAGTATGTGGGGCGAAGGATTGGGGCCACGCAGCGCGTGAAGGGCGCTCCGAAATCAGACCGGCGCCGCCCTGCGGAGCCGCCGCCGGAGCCTCTGGCAGGGCGCCCTGTTGAGGCCAGGAAGCGCGCGCAGAATGTGCCGACACGGGCGGGGTGCCGCCGTGCGGACGCTGCCCCGGGGGCAGGCGGCGGGGCTCTATGGGGTCGCGAGGCGTGTGAGGGGTGGGCCGACATGGGTGCGGTGCCGCCATGCGGACGCTGCCGCTGGGTTCTTCGGCGGAGCTCTTCCTACGGTGAAAACGTATAGTAAGGGCGCGTGGTAAGGACGCAAGACCCTTGGAACCGAAGTTGAAGTATTCTGGGCGGCAGGCGGCCAAACCCCAAGGGAATCTGAGAAACTGGCCTGCGAAAACTGCTAGGGACGGGCCGCAGAGGCTGAGGCAGGCAAGGACCCAAGGGTACCCTTGAAAAATGTCCTTACTATCCGCGTTGACTGTATAGGGCCACGAAATGTGTGAGGGGTGGGCTGACATGGGTGCGGTGCCGCCGTGCGGATGCTGCTGCTGGGGCCTCCGGCGGAGCTCCCTATGGGGTCACGGAGCGTGTGAAGGGTGTGCCGAGATGGCCATGCGGACGCCGCCATGCAGACGCTGCGACTGGGGCCTTCGACGGAGCTCCCTATGGGGCCACCTAACGTACGAAGGGTGTGCCGAAATGGGTGCGGTGCCACCGTTGGCGAACCCTGCCGCTGGGGCCTTCGGCGGAGCTCCCTATGAGGCCACTGCACGCGTGTGAGGGATGGGCCGAACTGGATGCGGTGCCGGCGGACGCTGCCGCTGGGGTCTTCGGCGGAGCCCTTCCTACTGGGCCACGAAACGTGGTGGGGTGGGCCGACATGGGTGCGGTGCCGCCATGCGGACGTTGCCCTTGGTGCCTTCGACGGAGCTCCCTATGGTGCCACGAAGCGTGTGAGGGGTTGGCCGACGTGGGCGCGGTGCCGCCACGCGGACGCTGCCAGGGGCCTTCGGCAGGGCTCTCTATGTAACTACGTAGCGTGCGTGTGAGGTCTGTTGTTTCTACTTAACAACTACCAAAACTCACGCCTCGGCCATGGGCACATTGTGTGCCATGCAACCGCCGGACAAACCTGGAACGCCACAGATGCCGACCGGCATGAAACAAACATAAATGGGTGTGGTGAAAGGTGAGGGGTGTGCCGAAACGGGAAATGGGATGAAGGATGAGGGATGGGGGAGAAGAAAAAGAGAGGAAAGGAGGAGGAGACGCGGGGTGCTGCTGATTCAAACCGGGTCCCAGCACCATGGGATGGCAGGGGAAGAACCAACTGCCTCGTACTCCTCCTCCTATTCCTCCTCCTGGTTCTATACGCAAGCGTAACGGTCTCTGCGCCCCTTTGGGAGGGGGGGATGCAGGATAAAATGAACATATTGAGATAGGGAAGCGGAGGGTGGGAGGGAGGCAGGTGGAAGGATGGAGGGATGCAAGGAGGGAGGAAGGCGAGAGGAGGATGAGGAGGCGGAGGAGAAGAGCGAGGATGAGAAGGAGAGAGGAGAGAGGAGAAAGAGATATAGAGAGAGGATATAGGAGGTGGAAGAGGAGGAGCGCAATGAGGGCTCGGAGGAGCAGGAGACGGACACTTAGAAGGAGAGAATGGATGATGAGGGTAAGGATGTTGATGCGAAAACTGATTAGGATGATGACGAGGAGGCGCACGAGAAGCCCGAGAGCAACACGATGAGGGTGATGGTGACGTTTCTGATAATGACGATGCCGATTACGACGTTGATGTTGACGACGATGATGATGGTGATGATGATGCTGCTGCTGATGATGCTGATGATGATGACGACGATGATGTTGATGCTGTTGCTGCTGCTGGTGATAATGATGATGTTGCAGATGATGATAGCAATGCTGCTAATGTTGATGCTGATGCTGATGCGGATGACGATGCTGATGATGTTGATGATGCTGAATATGGTGGCAGTGATGGTGATGGTGATGATGATGCTGATGCCAATGATCAGGATGATGGTACTGATGATGATAATGATGATGAGGACGATGCTGCTGCTGCTGCTGCTGCTGATAAGGATGACGAAGGTGGCGATGATGACGATGATGACCACGACGATACTGCTGTAGACTGACAGAATGAGGATGTTGCTGGTGATGATGCAAACGAGAAGGCGGAACTTGGCAATCATGAGAAGTGTGTAACTGATGTTGTTCATCGCTGGGTATGGTGAGGACGAGCGGAGGAGCAGGAACATGATGATTATATGAGGATTAAAACGAAACTGATGACGAATAACGCGACTGGGACAGTGGTGGGGGTGGGGCGGGGGAAGGGGGGGACGATACACAAGATGCATGGAACAATGAGGACGAATGAAGACACAAGGGGGGAATGACGGAATGAAGAGACGGCAGGGATGGGAGAGGAAAGCGGCAGAGGGAGGGGGAGAGGAGGAAGGCGAGGAAGGCTTGAGGGAAGTTGGTGGATCAGGCGAGGAAGGACGGGCAACGAGAACGAAGGAGGCGGAGATCAGGGCAGCTGGGACCATCTGGGACCTTGTGGGGAGGTTGAGCGGGTGGGGCAGGGTGGGGCGGCGGGTGTGGCCCCCGTCCTCCAACTCCCACTCTGCCGCACTCTGCCGCGCTCTGCCGCACGCCCCACCCCCAGCTGCAGCGCCGCACTCTGCTGACAGGCTCGCGGCCGCATCGGCGCTGCCATCCAAATAAGCCCCTCCCGCTCTCCCTCTCCGCCTCTTCCTCCCTCTCTTCCTCCTGCTTCCTCTGGCACGTCCTGGATCACGCGGCAGCCGGTTCTGAACACACACAGAGGAGGACGGAAGGCGGCTGCGGTGGTGACGATCGGCGCCGGAGGTATGGCATCGGCGCGAAGGGGGCAGAGGTCCGCGGCTCGAGGCCAGGCCTTGGCCCGAACAGGAGCTGCGGTCGCATGGCGTTGGGCCCTCGGGCGGTGTGGCCGCTGCGGCCTGCCGAAGCCACGGGCGCTGCGTGCGGGACGCAACGGCCAGCAGCACTGTCTGGTCCCTGGTGTCGCACGCCGTAGGCACGCCCGGCCAACGCGCATCGATGTGGGAGGCCTGGAAATGGGCACCAACACCAAGACAGAGGGCTGCCTCCACAGGGGGGAGGCGATCCTAGAGTTCGGTATCGGTGGTAATATTTCGGCCACCTGAGAAGCCAGAATATTATCACCATCACCGAGATCGGGATCTTCTTCCCTCGGTGGAGGAACACCGCCGATCTTGGTGTTGGTGTCAACCTCTAGGCCTGCGACGATGACTTTGATTGGGATGGACACTGGTACGCGGTCTTGTGGACATGTATTTGTTTTGATGCGCTGTTCATACCTCGCAGCGCGTGGTGTAAGGCGCCACCTTGTCCAGTCCAGATGGCTGCCTTCGTCATCAAACTCTTGTGTTGACCGACGTTCGCATTGGCTTGAAGGTCATGACTTCCCAAATTGCTTTCCGCTTGCGAGTCTGGCGCGTTATCTTTTATTTTGTGCGGTTGGCGCACTCCCCAGGCCCACCCTCCATCGGGTCGAACATTCGAAATCGCATCGGCGAAAACAGATCGGAAATGATCGGAAACACGGACTAGAAGCAGAATCGAACCTGGCGAACTTGGAACTGACAATCGAAATGGCGGCCAATGGCAGGCGGGGGATCCTGCGATGCATCGGCGATGGATCCGCGATGGGCCCCCCCGAAGGCGAAACCGCACGCTCCTGGGCGGGGTGGGGCATCGGGTTGCGCTCGTAGGGGTGGGTCGCTGCGACCCCCTCTGAGCTTATCCCCCCCTTGGCGTTGCCTCTTGGCTTTCGGGCCCCAGCTCGGCTCTCCGGCGGCCGCTCGGGACGATCCGGCCCTCCCCACGGGCGCCTCTCGCCGAGGCGCGGCTGCTGGATAGGCCCCTGAGGCTGGAACACCGACGAGGCCCCGCGAAAAACCGCCCGCAACACCTCAACCCTCGAACCCGAGCCCATCTTCCCTGACGCTGCACGCTGCCTCATTTTCTCCTAATTCGGGCCAGGCGAAAGGGGGGGATAGCAAAGAGGGGGTTTGATAATCAGCTCGCGTAGCCGATTTTCCTGGCGCCGGGAGGCGCCCATGTATCGAGGAACGGGCCTCGCGGCGGGACCGAAACCAGCTGCATGCAGCAGATTTCGTAATCCCCCATTTTCCTATCCCCCCCTTTCGTTCGGCCCGACTAATGTTGGCCCCGAGGAGGGCGTCGGGCACCGCGGTGGTGATGGTGGTGGCCACGCGTGGCAGCGGGCAGCTTTTTCTCCACCGCAGCAGAAGCACTCCGCTCGAGGCCTTGGGAGCTGACGCCGCCTATCGCCCTCTGCCTTCGATGACAACCTCCCTGCAGCGTGCGGGCGGGAGACGTGCGCGCTCTCCAGGCCAGCATCCGGCTGTCTGTCTCAGCATGCTGCTGCCTGCCCGCGCCGTGCGGCGCGTCCTGACGCGCGCGTCTTCGCTACAGTCGGGCTACCACCACACGGAACGCCAGACAAGGGAACGAGGCTCCCTCTGGCACCAAGAGCGCCTGCGTGCACGAGGATCGCTGGAACAACCACGCGAGGACCTGAGGCACAACGAGCCGCTTCCGCACCCGAGCTGCTTCCCTTTTCTCAGCACCTTGACTGTGCCATCCCCGCCCCGCGGCGGAGGTGCCAGCAGGTACTGCGACGGCGGACTCCAGACCCCGCTGAAGGAGAAGCTCTGCCCGTTGAAGCCTCGGCTCATCACAAGCCCCATCCCTGCTTGCCTCCGCGACCATACCCCTCTCTGCC